AGTGTGTGCATGCTACCTGCTGGTTTAGAGCCGCATACGCGTGCTCTGACCCCAGGCAGGATTCGCATACTGCTTTTATCTCTGCTGGTCATAACTCATTATGAACCCAGAGCCACATGAGGAACAATCACGGACGCAGTTGTTGCTCATGATGATTCTCAATTGCTGTGCTTCAGTAACTGTGCTGGTTTGCTGAAGAAAAGAGGGAGCAGATTGTCAGGCCTCCTTCCTATTTATAAGTGTTTCAGTGCTGCGCAGGGGGATTACCCAATAGCGATAGCCTTAGAGGGCGAAGCCATATACGAAATAGAACACGTCCGGGACGATCGGAAGTGTGCTTTTTTGCACACTGCATGTTGCCGCTCGCATAAAGTTAGCTGAAATTAACCAGCTAGATTGAACTGTTTCTCGTTTTTCTTCTTCTCACGCTGCGCCTCCCATGCAGCTCTCTGGCACCCCCCAAGGGAGGCGCGCCTCACACTTTGAAAACCGCTGCTCTATATGGACCTTAAACACTAATGTTGATATTGTACAGCTTAAGTTTGACTTTTTCTCCCAAAGATTCAAGTCCAAAGTCACCTCTGCCCCTCACCCCTCTTATACTTGCAACGCCAATGTATTTCAGTTTTCTTTGTTTTGCCAATTACAAATCTGCAAAGCCCCCTTATCATCCTTGTGTCCCTGTTCAAAGCATTGGACCAAGGTCGGAATCCTAAGTGACCCTCCATGTGTACCCAACAAGTGGTTCCGTGAATAAGAGACGTTCGAAGGCCAACGCCAAGTGCTGACTCAAGGGTCGGCATTTATAGTTTGGAGTGTTTTGTTTGGTTAGCTGTGCCAAGGACTGGATGATTTGGGTTTATTTAAATAGTGTTGAACATGAGTCATCGAAAGTGCTAACTATTCTTTATCATGAAGCAGCTTTAAAACCATGGAAGTGCTCTGAGATGCAAAAAGTTACATTGATCTCCCTTGACAAACATTAATGTAAACTTAGCAAAGCATTTTAATACATGCAACCTTACCTCTGAGTGGCATGCATGGCTTTTAGGGACTTATTTAAGCATTTATATTCGTAATCGGCAGGGCTGGAGGCAGAATTTTAAATATAAACTTAAATAAAATAAAGGATCTTTTTTTGGGGGGGATTTGCCATATTATGTTGTTTCAGATACCTATGAAATTAACTAGTGGAGGAGGCAAAGACTGCTTGCAATCCTGTATATTCATAGTGATAATAAAGCTGCCTGAACTTCAAACTTTATTTTGTTCCATTTATACTCAACATGATCTAAATACCAATATACTAAATACCAATATTTAGATCAATCAGCTTTATAAGTAGTCATTACACAACTCCTTTGTTGGGCCTGGCATCCATTTAGTAGGGAAACACTAAATGATTGATACATTGAGAAAATAAACCTCTGCAGGCCAACTTCAATTGCAGATCAATCAAGTTTCCTGCATGACAGCCTTATCCTTAATTTCCACTTTACTATGTTTGCCATTCCCTACATTGACTCAAATTGAATGGAAATTATGAGTGAACCATCTGATATGGCCTTAACCCCAGAGGATTGGTGTTGGGTGATGGTAGTCCGACTGATGCTTTTCTAATCCCAATGACATTGAGTATTTCTCCTTTGACTCAGATTGGGTTATGTTAAGTGTCAAGTGGACAGACAATGACTCTGGGGCCAATCAGTGTCAGCAGATTGGGAGTCCAACTAAATGTATGATAGCAATTAAAGCTTTGGTGATGTATTTGGCTCAAAATGACTTTGCTGCATCCCATGACGTCTGCCTGCAGGGATAATAACTCTCCAAGTGTTTTTTTTTCTTAATTTTATTATTTCCAACTTCTACCATCCCTTCCCCCTCCTCGACTCCTTCCCTCCCAAATGAGATGCAGTGATGGACTCCTCCATTACATGAATGCTATCAAGGGAGTGGTTAATGAGAACAGCTAAAGCGTTGCCTATCAGTTAGCTGACCTATTATCGTCCCTTATTGTGGCAAAATCTCATTTGACTGTGTTTTAATTAAACAGGGCCGGCTAAGTAGAATGCCGCCTCGCATTCAGCTCGGCTGAACCCGGGGCACCGCTGCGGTAATCATTTGGCACAGGTAACTTTTAATCATTCTGCCAACACAACACGGGACTCACCCCGCTGTGATATGTAGGCAGCTTATTAGAGACCCCTTTTGTTGGCTGCCCCCAATTGCTCCTTTTTGAAGAACACAAGAAAGAGAAAAAAACACCCTTTTGTTTCACGACTCGCTCTATAGTGTGAAGAAAAAGAGGGGGAATAAAAGGCTAGGGAGAGTAAAAATAAAGAACAGAGAAGCTCATCGTAGCTTTAATCATACCCTCCCCGCACACACCTGAATGTTTTATAATGCTACCACCTCCGCCGTGCTGCACACTGCAAATAAAGTTGTGCAAGTGTGCTCGTCCTTGGAGGACAGAAAGTTCTCCTGATAATAAAAATAAAAATAAGAAAAACATTGATTCTTAGATATGAAAGTTCACGAGGAGAGTAAGAAACGGGGATAAACTATTAGAGACGTCAGAGAAAAAAAGAGACATATGTGAGAGAACTGTAGGATGAGAACAGTTTCTGGTTGTGCAGACTGCCCGGCTGGCATGCATACAGCCCAAGGGGGACAGTGAAGCTCCCTGAACGTCAGAGAGCTACGACAGGGGATGAAGCCCCTCGCATCTCACAACCTCCTGCTGCTCCAAATCAAGAGCGCCAAAGAGTGAGAACAACTGCTTTGATCTGTCCTCTCTTTCTCTCTTTTTTCTGATTCTCTCCGTCCTCTTTAATATGCCCCCTTACCATGAGTTATTTTTTCTCTCTTTCCATAGCTGTCTCATAAATAAACATGATATCATCATGTAACCTCTCATTGTTCTAAAGATGCGAGGTGTTCTCAGTGCATACATTTAACACATACTATACACACTTCAGTCACACTTGAAGTGTGATAGGATGCAAATCAAGCCGCAAAAGCCCCCTACAAGGATGTTTTTTTAAAGTAGTTTTTACAGTATCTTTATGGCAAGTAGCAGAGAATCACATCAATTTGTAAGTAAAGTATTCACACACTGTATGATGAAAACAGCCCCATTGTCGTTGAAATTAAAGCTAAACATTATCTACATTTTGTATGATTCAAGTGTGAGTGGACTGGATGTGAAAATAGATTCATGGATGAACCGAGTAAGAGGAGGGAACAAATGGGGGGGTTGTTATTCATATTTCATACCTATCTCTTATTCCTCATATCATTTCATTTCATTTCATTTCAAACCTTTATTTAACGAGATTGGTCCCATTGAGATCATAGATCTCTTTTTCAAGGGAGAACTGCAGCATATAGGTTCCATATGAAACATAATACAAATCTCAAATATCACACCTCTTCAACCCCCTCTCACACATTCTCTTTCCGGGAATAAGAATAGGCTGTATTCACATTATAAGTGATTTACTCACTGCAACGTTGGCCTGTTATGTTTCGTTTCTATGGTAACATCCCCTGCTAGCTTGCGCCGCTTCATACAGATGTCATCAGATTGGTTGCACGTCTAAATGTCAGTGGTAACGAGGTCAAAGTTGAAATTATTATGCAAGAATTTTGAGCGGTGCGCGGCGCTGAGGGTAGCGGCATCGCTCTCTATAGAAACACAACGTCAGCGCAGAGCTGTTTTACCGAGTATCCTGTGAAGGCAGCTTAAGGGTAACTTCCTAAATGCACAGCTACTGCTACATATACATCCTTAGCTATTATTTATTAATACATATTATTACAAAGCTCACTTCATCAAATATCATCATTACAGTGGAAACTTAAATATACTATGTCTTTATTTTGACAGATTTTGTTAAATGTGCAATTGAATCAACATCATATGATTGTGTCAGATTCTGATATCCTAAATATTAAATACTTGTTATGTAACTTGTAATTTACACCTTAACATGAATAGTACCTCTCATATCTAAATGGAAGGTATTCCAGGGTAGCCCATCTTATTCTGAAAAGGTATTTTCCAAATTGTAGGAGAAATAAATGGAGTAAAACATGTAGATTTTAATATAATAATAATACTTTATTGTACCCACATCGGGTTATTCATATTAACCCTGAAATATATTCACATATAGAGAGTATCTATCAAATACACAATATAACTATAGTGAATCAAAGTTCACACATACAATAAAAGGCAAACCCACAACTATCAAAATGTTATCATAGGATGCCATTTACAGTACAATGTGCAAGGTAAATGCAGTTTTTAAATTATATTTAAACCAGTTAGTTATAAAGCTAGCTAGTAAAACTAGTTAGTTAATCAGATGACCACTTCCTTGTATACATATGATGACATGTGTTGGACTGGAGAGATGTGTCTGTTGTTTGTGTTTGTTTTTAGTATCAGGATGGAACACTTGTCTTTTTCTCTGCAAACAGAATCTACCTACGGGTACAAATAAATAACCTGAACCTGAACCTGAACTACCATTCTACCTTTTAATCTGCAGATAGCATTTGATCACAATTTGGATAAATGAACGCCTTAAAAGCATGTTTTTTTTTGTTGCATTTAGGCTTCAAAGTGAACTATCCAAAATGATCACCATCCTGATCCTGCAGTGCCGTAGGCCCACACGGTAGAATCAGAGGAGTTAAATAACTCATCCTGCTACCCCTGTCGATGAGTTTATTAGCCCTCGCCATTAAAATGTCTCCTTCATTAGCCTCAGTGAAATGTCAATCACAGGGGTTGGAAGGGTGTGTATGCGCGTCTGTGCTAATCAGACATATCTGCGGAGCTTCTGACACGCTGGGATAGGCTACATGCACTAGGGTCTGAGACGTACTTCCGCCTTAGCCGTTATACTGCTCGGACGCTTCCGGGTTGCTTCTGGTCTGCGTAGCTGAGTGTCCACAAATGTTTTACTGTTTAAATCTGTGGTTTAAATATGAGTCGACGGAAGATTTTCAAAACGGAGCATTTGCAAAGACAAGTAAAGAACTACTCCGAGCACTGCTGTGTCCCACTTTGTACGGCGTCAGCTAAATTCAACGGCGTCCTAAGTTTCCATGGCTTTCCGACCGAACTCGAGCTGCGAAGACAGTGGCTGGTTAAAATACGACGCGATAACTTTACAATCTCCTCTCACTCCAAGGTCTGCAGTCGTCACTTCGCTACAGATCAACTAATAGAGCCAAACACCCTTGATGGCCGTAGGAGGCTTGTGAAAGGTGCTGTCCCAACTCTGTTTGAGTGGAATCACTTCACTGCTCAAACACCGCGGGCTAGTGTTTGGGAGAGAAGGGAGCGGCCCACTGAACCAGTCTCTCGGGAGGAGCAGGAAAAGCACATCGATGTCCGTGACCATGATTACTGCTCAACCCCTGAACCAGCTTCACTGGACATGTCCTCTCAAGCTACAGAAGACAACTCCAAAACATTGGAGGATCTGCAGAAGAAACTGCAGGAGTTAAGAGTCCAGCGAGAGTTTTGCTTACAGCGGTTTGCTGGCTCCGACGACAACATCCGATTCTATACCAGGTAATGTTTTGGCTAAATTCTATCCAAGTTTTTGAGATGGGTTAGCTTATAAAGAATCCTGTTTACCTGCCGTTTGACTGCTGACTATTTGCATGCAGTGTTGGAATAAGTAGGCTACTCAACTTAACTGAAGTATAAGTACAAATACTATGGTTTGAAAATACTCCTGAACTGAACATGTAGAATCATAAATCATGTGTTTTCATAAGTAACTAGAAACTATGAAGGTTAACTAAATGTGGTGGAGTAAAACATACTAATACTAACAACATACTGATAATACTTTACTACAAGTGGAAATCTTCAAAACCTTACCAAAGTAAAAGTACATGTCAATATCCACTGCGTTTCTCCCAGTTGCACACTTAAGAATGAAGAGTAAAAGTAGTCGTTCTGTGTAAAATGTTCCCTGTATGTTTTAGATTATTATTACTGCTGCTTTAATGTAGTTGTTACATGTTACTGCTGTATATTACTATACCTGCACCAAGTGCCTTCTTAATCAGTCTATTTGAATTGTAATGTATTATAGCAAACAAGAGGAAAGCATTAGCCCATGTGTTACAGTTAACGAGTCAATTAATGACTGACATGTGTCTTTTGTGTACAGATTCCCGAGCTATAACCACCTGATGGCCTTCTGGTTTTTGATTGAGCCTTCCATTTATAAAATGGTTCGTGTTACAAGAGCGATATCAGCTGCCAAGAGGAATGAAGAAGTGGTTACACACGCATGTCCATCAACGGTAGGCTACGTTTCTTTTAACACACAATCTAAACACAAACTGAAGGGAAAATGTTTCTCCGACATTTCATTGCTTTCGTGTAGGCTAAAAGGCTATAGTACTCAATCCTTTTTGAATACATCAGAGAACTAAAACAACTTAATGTTTTTCCCATGGTGTGCTACACTCATGACATTAATATAGTACCCTTTTTTTGTTTATCTTCCAGAGACAGCTGCTTCAGCCAATTGACGAGTTCTTCCTTTTTCTCTGCTTCCTGTCGGTGGGTTTGAAAGAGAGGGACCTTGCAAACCGCTTCAACGTACACCAGTCCACTGTGAGCCGCATCATTGCAACATGGACGAGTTTTCTTACAACTTTATTGGGGTCACAGTGCATCTGGCTTACACCTGCAGAAGTTCAAGCCCACCTCCCAGAGGCATTCAAAGATTTCCCAGACACACAGGTGATCCTGGATTGCACAGAGCTGAGGTGTCAAACACCATCCTCACTCCTCCTCCAAAGTGAAATGTATTCTACATACAAATCTCACTGCACCATGAAAGCCCTGGTTGGCATAGCCCCACATGGCGCAGTGACATTTGTTTCCAGTCTGTATGGTGGTTCTGTCAGCGACAAGGAGATTTTCAAACAATCTGGAATAGCTGCGTTGTTGACTGAAAACATGGCAGTGATGATAGATAAGGGCTTCCTGATCAGCGATTGCTGCAAATGCAAGGTGTACTGCCCACCTTTTCTGTCAAAGCAGAAGCAAATGCCAGCCTATCAGGTGAGGGAGACACAGGCCATTGCCAGACTGAGAGTTCATGTGGAGCGTGTCATTAGGAGGATAAAAGAGAACAAACTTTTTGATGGTGTCATCCTCCTGTCCCATGCCTACAACATCAACCAACTGTTTGCAGTAGCATGTATGCTGTCAAACTATCAGAACAAAGCACTGGTCAAGAAATGGGTGAAATAAGACAAGATGATGACACCTGTGCAGGTAGCTGTGATTAAGCTGGGTGAGCACACCGTAATCCCGTGTTGCCTGACACACGCTAGTGTTTTGTTTGAATAAATGGTAAATAGCAAATTACAATGCGTTGATGATTTCTTACAAATGCACTGATTTACTATTCATTACACAAATCACTTCACTTTATTGTCTTTTTAAATACAATTGTATATTTATTTACATATATGAAATGTGACAAACAATATATATCAAAAACAACATATTGAAATCACATGTTGTTGTCATTCAGAACACATGATTGAGGGATTGCCTCCTAAAAACAATGACGGCTGAACCAGGGTCTAGCAGCTAACTGCTTACAGAGTTAACAATGGCTACAGTGCCCACTACTTTTTTAATGACAGGTACTTCGGCATGTATGTGTAAAAAAAAAAAAAGTCTACTTTTTCTCTGATTGCTCTTTGCACTTCTGGATCTGTGTATATTCTTTGCACCAGGTAGTCCTCTTGTGCCCACACTACAAAATCACACCACTGCATCCCAGATACAAGAAGTTGACCCTGTACTTGCCAGTAATAGGCATGGCTTTTCTTGAGCTTAGGGGAGCCACATTCCATCTGCACATATTTGCAGTCGACATCATTTGGGACATTGGGACATTTGAATTCAACAAGGCCAAATTGGGGATATTCTGTTGGGTCAAAAACAACTCCATCAGGGGAGGCACCAAGCCAGGGCGTAGAGGGGTGAATGACAAGGCCACAAGGGGAGTAGTTCACGTTTGCCAGTCTACTATATTCAGCTGCTCCTGTGGGCTCCATCTCGGCACCTCTCCTCATTTCTGCAGTCTGCCTTGTACCTTTGAGTATTCGCTCTGCAAGAGAGTTAGCAGAGCTCTCACCTCTGACGTGACAAATCTCTCTAAACCTAGAGGCAGTAACCCTGGGTTTGCGGAGCAGATGCCACTCTGAGCTAGAGCTTTGCTCACGGGTAGCCTCCTCAATTTTGTGAGACATTTCCAAATCAACAGATAAGCTGTTCATATGTAGTTGCTCCTCTTCTGAGCACACCAGCGATAAATCACATGGCAAGATCACATACCCCTCTATGGGCAAGTGGGGTGTTGGTGGTGTGTCAGTGTGAAGTGTGGTGTACCGAGACGTCAAAGCAGGCATCTGATAGGACAGAACACTGCCCTCCTGCACAATCCCGAAGGCACTTTCCACAAGGGGCTTGTCAGGTCTCATGTTCATTGTGGTCACAAGCGGCCTGTCTTCAATGCTGAATGCTGAGTATGCCTCCGTAACTCTGAACAGGCAGGGATCTGGTAATGGCCCCACCATGCCTCTGTAGAATCCACTCCTACAAAGAATGGCAAAGACAATATAGCACATTAATGTGACAATAAAGGTTAGGAATACAGCACCAGAATTATGAATTTTAAAAACACAGGAAACACAATTTTCCAGCTAAAATGACCTTACTCCAGTCTGCACCATCCTATTTGGTACAGGCTTGGTGAAGACCATGGAGTTGATGGGCCCTGGCTTCACACCCTTAAGGAAAAGACAATTACTGTTCGTTGAGTCACTTTAAAACAAAAACTCTGTGAAAGATTACAAGTATTTGAACCTCATTGAAATTACCATTGTTCGCGGCTTGTGCCATTGCTGTTCCGATTCAGTACAGCTATGCACAGGTGGCACAACTGGCATGTTCAGTTCAGTGTAGTGTGCTGTTTGGAACAGCAATGCTACTGTGTGATTGCACAAAACAGTTCCTGCAACACAGGAGCACTGGTTGTGCGTGAGCACCACTGGTGATGAATCACAAAGCGTTATCTAAAAAAGAGAGAAGAAATACTAGTGATTAGTAACCTCACTTGTTACTATGAGCCAGGAGGTTATTATGAGTAGAATTATTGGTTATTTTTACTGACCCATTATCCTAGAAGAAGCATGTATTCCTGAATGCTTAGTGTTACCCTCTTACCCTACAATACCACAATGAACTTTCTTTGGAAACTAAGATGCCTTGAAAATTGTATTAAAGCAGTTTTTACTATATATTTGAACCCCCAAACTTACACATCCATAATCAATGTAATAATATCTGACCAATCAGCTGTGATAAAGCAGGGAGAAGTAGGACACTGTTGAGATTCCCTTAAGGTAAACTAATGTTTAACTGAACTAAAACTTAATAAACAGGGGGGAACACTGTCAATGCTGCCTGCCTACACTCAAACTGTGTGCTGTCTCGCTCTTCCGCATTGACCTGTAGCACAAGGCTCTCACGCTGACCTGCCCTGTCAGCCTGTCTTTATTGGACACTGAATGAAGAAAAACAGAGCAACAGCGTTAGATCTATACTCACGTCAACACATCTATGGCAACATTGCTTTACAAAAGCTGATACCATTATACAGTGTGGCTAACAACAAGATAACCTTGGCTAGGCTATAAGGCTATTAAACGATAGTATTTGTTAGCAAAATGGCTAATGTTTTAAAGAATTAACACCAGAAACAGTACATAGCGTTACCCAGAGCCCTATAGTAGTCTACTATAGTAGTAGTATAATAATAATAATAATAGTAGTTATACTATAGGGCTCTGGCGTTACCTAGCTTTTGACAGCTAATGTTAGCGTAACCCGGAGCATAAGCTAGCTGGTTAGTACCGGTTACCTTCTTACCTTCATAGTTGTGTATATATGACGCAGCATATAATTTGAAGCCTTTATCGAGTTTGCTGGCTGGGGCTTTAGTCGTCCGGCAAATCCGATGAACATCTGACATTTTTAATTTCGGAAGCTCTAGTAGGCAGCGGGTGTAGAAGGTCGTCATTTTCAAACAGGAAATGAATCGGCCGCTATGAGTAGAATGCGGAAGTGACTGTGCATGTAGCCTATTGATCAGTCACTGAGCATCAGACATCAGACGGAGAGCGGTAGCCCTCAAAGCATGCATCAGTTAGTGGACAGGAAGTGTGTTTTACTGGTGTGTGTTTGCGTGACAGGGAGATAGAAGGACAGATGCCGTATTTAACTGTGTCTTATGTGTTAGATACAGGTTGGACAAGGATATGTTTATGCTTCATAGTGCCTTTGAATTATTTCTGCCATAATGGCTCCTTCATGACCTCTTCTAACCTTTAAATGCAGATCATTTCATCAGATTTAATTATCAGAAAATCAGAGATGATGTTCATTATAAGGAATAGTACAACATGATTAATGACAATACATGACACTGGACATGTATAACACATGTAAAAGCAGATTAAAGTAGGTATTTTGATTAATAGTTCCCATGTGACTAAAAGTATAAAGCCACACCAGCCCCCTACAGCTTCCACTGTAAATATAACCATTAAAAATGCAGTGTTGGAACAAAGGAAAACACCCTACTGGCTAACTGATTTAATTGGATGAGTGATCATCTTTGTCTTTTTGTCATTTTATAGTAATCTTTCTTCTGGATAATGAGATATACTGTGTGGAAACTTAGCATTGCATGTTGCTTTGCTTACAAATGGAAAGGGTTTCATCCTTTCAACCGCATAAATGTACTTAGTGAATGTACTGTAAGAGCAAGATTTGTCTTGTGTTCGATGAAGGTAGGACAGGTCATGAGGCCACTTCTAACATTCATTTCATTTCAAACCTTTATGTATCCAGATTGTCCCTTGAGATCATAGATCTCTTTTTCAGAAACCTGCATTAATATTATTATTTTTCTGGAATATTAAAATATATAGATATTTAAAACAATGTTTTATGAAAATCTGTGACTAAGTTTGACTGGAATGGGGTTCCAACTAACAATTCAAGGTGGTTAATCAGTTTTGTGCAAAACACATGGGTCAGCATGGTTCAACCCTGTTATATCTTACACATGCTCCACCCTCTACTGGACTCAATGGGTACTACCATGGGCGTAGGAAGCATCCTGAATGTGGGGGGGACATTTTTAACGGGGGGTGTGGGGGTCCTCTTTTATGTTACTTTTATGTGGATATACTAGCATGAGGAAAATGATGGGTACATTTTGCAGTGGCGAACCGTGTCTATCACAACTGGACCTTCTGTAGACATACACCCCCCACCCCCCCTCCGCGGCATTATAATGTCTATTCACTGAATTGTCGCCTTGAAAAGGGTACTCACAAAAATTCCGCAACAACTTCAGCTTCACCTGTTGCACTTGTCATTTCAACGTTAAAAACAATAAAACGGCATGAATTGCTTCGTCGCATTCGTTCTAGATCCTCTGTCTCGAGCCAGTTAACTAGCGGGCCTTCTAGAGTACCCTGGAACCGAGGGAAACTCTGAAAGAATACGCCCATTGGCTACAAATCAATATATGATTGGTTGATCAAACTGTCAGTCCAAACGTACGCTCTCATTCAGTGCAACGGCCAGGGCATTCGATCAAGGATGTAGAATACCTTGGTTGAAGGATATTCTACCCAGAGACCCAGAACAAGATCTGATTGGTTGCTTTCTTTTCTAACACAAAACCACTGAAATGTGTAGTGCATGGTCCGAGAAGGACAAACAAATCAACGTAACACAGTAATATTACAGATCAACAACACGGATACGATTCTCATTTATTCATTTCATATACATTTTATTTAAATAATTAAATCGATTTTTTTTGTTTGTTTTATCTGAGTGTTCCAGGGTATTCTCTGAATACCTTGAAGGCCCTGACGGTTCGCCACTGACATTTTGTAATTTCATCCAGTAGTAAAGAAAGGAAACATATTTGATTATTGATTCAGAGCCGTCTTTGAATTAATAAAAAGCAGTTTAAATACCCATTTTTGTACATTTATATACAACAACAAATATTTGTGAGTGCATTGAGAGATATTGTTGTGGAGAGTCATTTATATATAAATCGCAAAATACATTTGTGAATCCTTCTGTGAGCATTTATTAATATTGAGACTGATCTGACTCCATACAGATGTTAAGTTCACCTAGGAATGGTATCATTGACTTAAATGTGCAAATAAATGTTGGTCTTCTGTCTATATTGGTCATGCCCCTTGACTGAAATGTTTGTTCAATATCCCCCCTGATGAGAGTCCACATCACAATTTACTCTA